GGGCACCTGCCACACAGGTGGGGCCGCAGGTGTCGTGTGTGCCATGCCCAAAGGTGAGGCACAGGGCGGGGAGGGAGGTGTCAAGGTGGGGGGACGGGTGTGACAGGTAGAGCCAGGACAGGTGTGAAGAGATAGGACAGGTAGAGGTGGGACAAGTGAGAAGGGTGGAGCCAGGACAGGTGTGACAGGTAGGGGTGGGACAGGTGACTCACCTGCACAGGTAATTGAAGGTGAATCCTCCAACCCCCCTTCCCCTCTTGCCTAATTAACCCCTCCCACACGTGGCGCACGTAAGGCCAGGTTTGGGGGGTTCTCACCTGTCCCCTCCCCACCAGGTGTGCCCCCCACCTGTGCACCCCTGGTGGCCCTGCTGGGGGTGCTGACGTCACTCAGTGGGGTCCTGCTCTGGCTCACCTTGAGGACCAGGTGTGTGGGAGAAGCCCCAGGTAAAGGTGAGTCCCGCCACCCTGAAGTGTGTCCCAGGTGTCTCCAGGTGTGTCCCAAGTGTCCCCAGGTGTTTCGAGGTGTGTCCTGGTTTATCCAGGTATATCCAGGTGTGTCCCAGGTGTGTCCCCAGATGTGTCCGGGTGTTCCCAAGTGTGTCCTAGGTATCCCCAGGTGTATCTTAGGTGTTCCCCAGGTGTTCCCAGGTGTCCTCCAGGTGTCCCAGGTGTTGTCCCAGGTGTCACCAGGTGTGTCCCCTCCCCCCACAGGTCACCTAGGGGCCATTTACCTGCCCAGGAGGGTCCCCCCTGAGGAGGTGGAGACACTGCAGCTCATCAAGGACGATGCCCCCTGATCTCACCTGTCACCTCTCGCCTGCCCCCCCCAAACATACCTGGGGGGGCTCAGGTGTCCCCACACACCTAGGGCAGGTGAAGGGGAGCAAAAAAAGTGGGAAAATGGGGTGGAAATTAATAAAATTGGGGTTTTCAGCCATCCAGGTGAGACAGGTGTGAATTCTGGGGGGAGGGGGGATTGACCCTCCAGGTGTGAATTTTGGGGGGTCCCCAAACCCTCCAGGTGTGAAATCAGGTGAGAACACCAATGATGTCATTAATTAACCATTCTTTAATTAGCATATGCCCCGCCCAGGTACGCCCAGACCCCACCCCCAGTACTACAGGTACCACCTAGGTGGGACAGGTGAGTCCCAGGTGTCCACAGGTGAGACTCAGGTGAGCCCCAAGTGCCCACAGATGAGACTTAGGTGCCCACAGGTGAGTCCAGGTGCCCACAGGTGAGTTGTCCCATCCAAAGGGGGACAAATCCAGGATCGAGGAATCTGGGAAGGAGGACCCAGGTGAGCACCTGCCCAGTCCCAAGTGCACCTGTGGTGCCATGTGTGGCTGTTCCACCCCAAAAATCCAGGTGAGGGCTCAGGTGAGGTGTGCACACCTGGCCTTAGGTGTGTCGGGGGTCCCACAGGTCCTGGGGGCGTGTCCAGTGCCAGTGATGTCACAGCTCAGGTGTCGTGGTTCAGGTGCTGCAGGTTTTGGGGACCACACCTGTCCAGGTGTGCAGGTCCAGGGTCTGCTCACCTGGGGCTCAGGTGTCACAGTTGGGTGTTGCTGCTGAAGGTTCTCAGGGTGCACACCTCTCCTGGCTCCCTTCACCTGTCTCTCAGGTGTCCTGACACAGGTCCATCAGCTTTTTGGGGTCCGCACCGGGTTTTTGGGGCACACCCCCGCCCCGGCCGCCCCGCCCCGGCGCTCAGGTGTCCCTGTGCACGCGCTGGTGCTGCAGCAGGTTGGAGGGGTGCGCGAAGCCCTTGGCACATACCCCGCACTTGTAGGGCGTCTCCCCCGTGTGCACCTTCTCGTGCACGCCCAGGTAGGCGAGGTCCTTGAAGAACTTGTGGCAGAAGCTGCACTCGTAGGGCCGGGCCTGGCTGTGCACGCGCCG